GAAAATAAATCCATCTCTCTCTCTCATCTATCTATCTATCTATCTATCTATCTATCTATCTATCTATCTATCTATCTATCTATCTATCTATCTATCTATCTATCATCTACCTATCTACCTATCTACCTACCTATCTATCTCTAATTGCTCTATCTGTTATCTATCTCTGTCTTATCTATCTATCTTCTATCTTCTATTTATTATTTATCTGTCATCTATCTTTATCATCTATTTATTATCTATATCATTTGTCTATCTGTATCTACCTATGTATACCTGTATCTATCTATCTATCTATCTATCTATCTATCTATCCATCTGTCTGTCTGTCTGTCTGTCTGTCTATCTATCTATCTATCCTAACATCAACTTATTTACTTGGTATTTATTAAATTTATACATTGGTCATCTCACTGTCAGGCAACTCATCTTCAAATGTGAATCTGGAACTTGGTTAAACCAACCTTTTCAAAGGTTGGCTGAGGCGACTTCAGTTGCCATCATCCCTAGACAGCATAGTCCATAATTCACAAACGGCGCCAGGGTTGAGAAAGCCGGTGGGGCTTCCATTACAGTTCTTGGTTGGGGCTGCCACCATGACCTGGTTAGGGGGGCAATTGTGGGAGTTGAAGTCCACACATCTTAAGGTTGAACACTGAACTTTCCATCCAGCCTCTCAGATCCGCAAGGAGATTCTCCAGAAAACATAGAGAGAAGAATCTTCAATCTCTAGTCACTTTCTGTAAAATCTTCTTCTGGTTTCTGCCCATCAGATGGTTGTTAGAAGCTGCCAATCAAGTAAAATAAGCATTTAGAAAATGACTTGGGTGGTGGTCAGCTGGCAACCCAATCAAGTTGACCCCCACCAAGATTGCAGGGTCCTGCTGTTTCTTCTCTACCTTTCCCGGGACTTTTTAGAAAGATTTTTCTTTCTTTCCTCTCGGCATGGAAGGCTGTTTTGGTCAATGGGAGCAATTTAAAAATGGGGCAATAAATACCCATGTTTTCCTTCTCACTCAGCGGCTTCCAGCCCACACAACCATAAAATAGGTCAGAAGTTTTTGCAGTTGCTCACCTCTGTTCATCAACGCAGATCAAAACAGAGAAAAATATGACAACACATTAGGTCTGCAGAAAAGTCAATTTGGGGATGTTTACCGAGTCTTTTTTTATAGAGCAATCTGGCCCTTAATTTTGAAAATGGCTTCTGATGGGCATCCAGTGTTCTCTGAGCTATTTCTGGCTGTTGTTCCTTCGGAGGTCAGTTATTGCAAACTGTATGTGGCCCAGAGACAGCATCAGCTACTGTATACTACAGGTAGTCCTCGAGTTATGGCCTGGCATTACAGCCGTAAGTTGAGACAGTCATCAAGTGACTTTGAAACTGGGTCTTAAGTCCCATTTTCCAACTGTTAATAAGTGACTGGTCATAAGCCAAGAACGACCTGAATTCGTCCAAATATATGTATCCTCTCTAACCTTTTAAGACAAGAAGGAGGAGGAAAGGGGGAGAAAGAAGGAAAGAAGTGTGCTGGGAAATCCCGCCATTCAAACTGTTTAAAAACCAGGGTTTCCCCCCCCCCCCTATTTCTTTCCTAAAATCTTCTTTACAAGCTTTAGTCCCCTGCTTGAGGGAAGGCTGCAGCCCTTGGCTGTATCAATGATGTTAAAGAAGATTAGCCATTCTTTGTTCCAATAGCCCCAATTGTCCCGCAGATTGCAAAACCACTTCAAACCAATAAAAGCCATACAACCATAAAACCAATAAATATCTGGCCGGGGAGCCCTGAAGGGTATTATCACAACGTAGACAAACCACATCCTGGTACAATGCAGGTGCTTAAAATTAGCAAGGAATCCTTCAAAAGGACAGTAGAAAAATGCCCGAGGAAAGAATTATATCTTTGCCCAAAGCTGGGAAGATAAAGCAGGTTCCAGAGTTGCATAAATCACTTATGTTTAAAAAAGAAAGAAAGAAAAAGAAAGAAAACAAAATAGGTGAATTTTAAGTGGGTTTTTCTTGAAGTGTTGTTATTTCCCAGCCCTCTCCTCCAGCTTTGCTCATCGGCTGAATGCTAAGAAATTCCAGCCTTGAGGTTGGCTGACCAAACTCCCCGTGACGTCAAAGAGCAAGAGTTAAAAACAAAAGGGGCTTTGTGTCCTTTTTAGGGGGGGGGGGAAGCTGTTATGCTCAGGGGTGCGTCACCGTCTGATGTGGGGAAAGGGAAGCTGTGTTGCCCCAAATGCTACACACCTTGTGGGTTTCCTTTCCAACAAGACTTCCAAATACTTTTTGCCTCTTCTCCAGAAATGTCTGCCAACATCACGGTGTGGGCGAAACTCCCCCCCTCCCCGAGGTTGTGCAAGGAAAGCCGGGCACAGGGGCACACTCTGTGACCTGACGCACTTTGGCGTGTCAGAGCGATGTGTGTATCAGCTCCGATCCATGCTCTGGGTCAGGCCAAAAACTTTTGCTGAACGAGCTTGAGAGAAAGGGCTTTGGCTTCTGTTTGGATCCCGAAGGTGGATCCCTTTCAGAAAATCTACTAGATCTGAAGAATGGATCTTTCTATGCGCCATTCAGCTGCCAGTTGGGGGCGAAAGCATCTGGCAGAGGTTATGGATGGGCCAGGCAAGGGGCAAACAGGAAATTAAAGCAATTCACTTCTCTGGAATAGAAAACTTTTCCTTTCATCTTGTTTACGCATTTCTCTTTCTCAGTAGGAACTGTAGCTGTGTGAATCTACAGAAGCCCCAAATTAGGACATAGAATTAGAGGGTTGGAAGGGACCTTGGAGGTCTTCTAGTCCAACCCACTTCTCAAGCATTTTTCCAACAATGCTTTATTCAGAGGCAAATGCTTTCATGAGCTGCGACTGACAAATATGGATTCTTTTGACTAAAATGTGCGACTTGAAAAATGTGCTTCCTTCCTTCCTTCCTTCTCTTTCTTTCCCATTCTCCCTCCCCCGCTTTCTTTCCCACTCCCAACATCACCTTCCTTACCTTGTTCAGTTTTAAAACCCATGTATTTGGCTTTAATTCCTGACATCTGGTGGCAGCTGAAAAGAAGACTAGAAAACTGGGCTGTTTGCCTATTAGCTCCACTCCATCATCAAGGGGACTTGTTCAACCTTTGGACAGCATGTCAGTCTGGAGGAGTGGGCTGAGCCCCCACCACAAATGTTTGCATAAAAGCTTCAGATGAAAAACTGAATTTTTCAAAAAGTGGCTTCACGTTTCTGCCAGCTCGGAATTGGACTTTGCTGGGATTTGGTCCACCTCCACCCAAAAGAAAAAGATAAATAAAAGAGAATCAAATCTTGCCCTAGATTGCTCTCTGGTGGCAGATTTGGGGATTTAGTACTTTGTACATGTTCCACATTGACAAATTTAAGTCTGATCCAATGGAAGAACTCCTGGAAATCTCTAAACCTGGGTTAGGTAGGGGATCAAAATATAACCTGGAAATAAAAGGAAATAGCAAGTGAGGTTGTAGAGATGCCTGTCAAACCACCAGGAGAGGCCTTTGACTTAGAGAAGTGAAGAACTGAATCAGACACGGGTTCGGCTACATTGCAACACAATCCACAAATATGGCACATGACAAAACACAATAGGATCGTTTCTCAAGCACAAATTGTTGGTTGTATTTGCACACTAAAAATACGCAGAGATGCAGAGCTGGAGACATTCAGGTTAAATAAATAGACGGAATATTGTGTGTACATTGGGGTGTGTTGGAGAGGAGGCATACTTCCTGCTCGTCCCTGTAATATCCATACGTTAAAACCACATCCTGGTTTGTCACGTGAGACTTCATACAGAGTCATTTGGACATTTCAGAAAGTCCCAAACCAAGTGCATGATGATCAGTTTGAGTCTATGAAAAAAATGGCTCTACTTGAAGTTTTCTAAAGGATTGGGAAGGGCTTCTCCCACACATACACACTCCAGCACTGAGGAGATCTATCTGGGTAACAGCAAATGTTGGGCCAACCTTGCTCAACCTACTTACTGTAGACTAAAAGCTGGATGGAATAACCTGCCTTGGGATTGGGTCCTTTGAGATTTGAGCTGATGTAACTTAGTGCAGAGAAGGAGAAACCAGCAGGCCAGGATTAGGATCTTCTGGAGAAGATGAGGTTCTACGTGAAGATATGAACAGATCTATATTGTCACAAGTTGAATCTCTACCTGAAGGATGACAAGTAGAACCCATCTGGGTAGAAATTAGGGTTGTGCGAAGTGTCTCATTTCAGAGATGCGAAGTTACTGATGGAAGAGAATATTTGTAGCTCAGAGTTAAACTGTGGGGCCCTTGGTGCTCTCTGAGCTTGGTGTTTTTCTGGTAGACGTTTCATGACCCAACTAGGAAACATCATCAGTGCTACGAATTTCCCCCACTCCCTTCTAACATGGATGATGTTCCCTAGTTTGGGTCATGAAACGTCTGCAAGAAAACCACCACCATTCAAAGAGCACCAAGGATCCCACAAAGATGCAATGTTCTGTAGAACGTCAGAAAGATTTCTTTTCTCCTAGTCCAGACTCTTCGGCCAGTTCTGAGGTTGCTTCCCACACTGTCCAGAAATAAATCCTTAGGAACAATACCCTGTTTTTTCTTAGAAAATATTCAGACACTGCCTGGAATGACCAGATCAGCATGGTCTCCAGGAAAAAAGGCCTAAAGACCTCCAGAATGGGAAACACGGGCTTTAGTTGTGTATCTCTTCTATTACTGTTTGTGAGACATTAGGGTCCACTTGGACACACCCACGAGGGAAGCTACAACAGGGAATTGAAGGCTTGTCTGTATTATGTGCAACATTATGCATGGATTTGACTGCCCCGTTGCAGGTCCATCTTGATTTTTGGACCCCGATGCTCCCTGGGTTTTAGAAAGCTCTGAAATCAGGCCATCCTTCAGGTGAATCAGTGCAGCAAACTCACAGGTGCCTGTGAGATCGTGGCTGGGCACGTGAGGTCAGGATGCCATCAACATCTCCCTCAACTTTGCGCTCAGGAACATTTCTTGCACGTCCATTGCAACAAGGGTCATTTGAGTTCCAGAAGCTCAATGTCCATCCATTGGAGGCCAAAGATGAGGATGACCATTATCTTGAATGAAGAAGACCTCACAGAAAGTTAAGCAGGAATGGGAAACCATCCTGAGTTGATCTACTCAACGAAAGGCCCTCAACATAGTTGGAAGACTTGGCCAACACCGCTCCTGTAGAAACTCAAGGACTTCCTTTAGCTGCCAAAACTGGCTGCCATTTGAGACCACAGCTCTTCCTTCTGACAGGCCAGCCTAGACCCAAGGAAAGCAACAGGGTCTTCTTCTGGCCAGCAACTCAAGAAGAGAGTCTTCAGGCAACCAGGCCTGCTCTAGGCTGGCCTTGCTGAGAACCTTCATGGCTTTAGCAGCCCCGTTTGCTTTCCAAGATGGCCTTCCAGTCATCGGCCCAGGAGTGCAACCGGGGGCAAGAAGCCGGGAGCTGCAGGTGTCTGTTGTGGCAGGCAGTGAAAACCACCTGCTCCCAGGCAGGGCTGCGTTCAGCTCCTGAAAGGGACAGGGAAGACAGCCAGTGAAGGTGTGGGTTGTGTGACTCTGAAATGGTGCAAATTGGTCCACCTTTTGGCCCCTCCAAGGGTTCTCTTCCCCAGCACCACCCCTCCCCACCTTACCTACGATATCAGGCCTGTCATCAATCAGCACATGTCCCGAGACGATCGTCTTATCCCGGGTGAGAATCACGTGCTCCAAAAATTCGGGTCCAAAATGCTTCTCTACCCAAGCGAGCTGGAAGGCATTAGAGGACATGAAGGTGAAAACATTTTGGGTGGATGACGAGAAGGGACCTTTTTCTATAGGGCCGGGAGAGGGGTAAAATGAAAGCTCCTAGAATCGTTTTTAGGGTGAGATGGACAGCATTTCAATTTAATACACAAATAAATAAAAATAAATAAACCATGTGGGCCAGGGGTTCCCATCAACAAGCCAGCTCTGAGAAGGAAGGGAGCTGGAAGGTGAAGTTAAATCAGACCAGTTTCTATAAATCCTGCAGCGTTTAGCTTGAATATGGGGGGGAAAAACCCCAATCAGAATCCTGGTTCTTCTGATTTAACCAGTGACTAACCCAAGATTTGTTGAGCAGGCTTTACCTTTTCATATGGGCAATAGCGATACTTCTTGATGGGACTTGTGCATATGAAAACTTCGGTCCTACCATAAAAAGAGAGAGGGAGAACAATTCATATTTCTCTGTTATTTTTCTACAACTGTATTCTGACTCTCCAACAGAACTTTCTGTGCATGGGGGGAAAAAAGCAACTGGTTTGTGATTCATTGATTTGGTTGGCAAAGAATTTTCAGCTTCCTAGGTCTTCTACAAATGCTTGGGCCTTTTCCCACTCAAGTTCTGGAACTTCTCTGCAAGGGGTGGGATTTCTCATCCCCCCACCCCCCACCCACCATATTGCTTTCTGCCTACAGGATCTGCTCTCCCACCCTATTCACCAGCAAAACCAACGATGATCAGTTTTAAAAACAGGAAAATTATCATTATTATATTTTGAAAAGTGGAGGTTTTCAAAAATAAACTGGACCACCATTTGACTGGAATGGCCTAAGGTTTCCTGCCCTGAATGTGGGTTGGACTAGAAGACCTCTGTGGCCTTTCCAGCCCTAGGATTCTATGTTCTATGATTAATCCAGAGAGGCACATTGTAAAACATCTGGAGAACTTGCTGCTGTTCCCATTTTATGGCCTGATACTTACGCTTCCAATTCTGCCATCTCCTTCAGAGCCTCCACAGCCCCTGGAAGGGGGTCGAGCTCCATGAAAAAGTTCTTGGATTCCCAAATACTGATAGCTTTTTCCTGCAAAGTGGGGGGAGGGGGGGAAAGACAAAACACACAGTGCACACACCAGGGAAAGTCACAAATATTTGAACACCTCGGACAGTGCAACCATCGTAAAACATGCCGGTTGCCAAATACCTGAATTTGTGGATCACATGGGGATGCTGCAACCCTCCTAGGTAGGAGAACTGCCAGTCACAGTTTTCAGGGGCAATGTAACTTTGGATGGTCACTAAAGGAACGGCTGTAGAGTGAGGACTACTTGTAGAGGCTGGGTTAGAATAAGGAATGCCTCTACACTCTCCAGGAAACCTAAATAGTGCAATGGACAGCCACTGCAGCTGGTGTGGGTCTCCTGAGCCCGAAATGGACTGGGGAGCCTCTGACTGGGGGCCCAACTGCCAGCCCCTCTCTGCCCCCCCCCCCATTTTTCCCCAGCAGCCAACGGAGAAGGCCAGGGAGGCTTTGAGGACGCAGGAAGGTGCTGAAATCCTTGGAGCGGGGAGCAAAAGAGCAACGGCCGGTCAACCCACCCTTGTTTACTCTGCTTCCCCGGCCGCCCTTTGGACGTCTCCCCCGGGGGTTATCGCTGCTTGCAAGCCCCGGGGGGGGGGCGGCGGCGGGGGGGGGCTCAGGACGGGACTCACGCTCAGCCCCGGCTGGAGCTTCCCGTACTGCTCCGAGACCCAGAAGCCGCGGCGCTCCTCCAGCGCGATGTAGGGCAGGTCCGGGTAGCGGGCGCGGTACTTCTTCAGGAAGCCCCCCTCGAAGTCGGCCAGCACCCCGTCCATGTCCACCAGCACCCGCAGCGGCCGGGCAGGGGCAGCCGCGCGCCCGGAATGCGCCCCGCCGCTGCCCACCAGAGGCGCCCAGACGCCCAGGACCCGCTGCGGGCGCCGGAGGAGGCCGCTGCTCCCGCGGGGGATCATGGCCGGGCAGGGACGTCTCCGGGCGGAGAGGGGGGTCGAGACCCCCTTCAGGGCAGGGCCGGCCCCTCCGGCCGCCTGGAGCCGGCCGCACCCGCCTTTGCCGCAGGAGCCGAGGGTCACGGGAGGAAGGCGCCGGGCGGTCACTGCGGAATTCGGCGCGCGTGGATGGGCTGGAGGCTGGAGGGGGAAGGAAGGAAGGAATGGAGGGAGGGAGGGAGGGAGGGAGGGAAGGAAGGAAGGAAGGGAGAGAAAGAGTGAGGGGCCGAGGCAAGGAAAGGGAAGGGAAGGAGAGAAAAGCAAACGAACGACAGAGCTGCCTGCCGAGATCGCTTGCCGATGCCCAAGAATCCCAGCGCCGGGCCAGCCGGGGGAGCTGTTCCGATTCAGCCGAGCGCCGGCCGGTCCCTTCTCTCCCGCAACCGGCCCGGCGGGGCTCCGCTTCTCCTGGCCATCGCCGCGGGCTCCGCTTTCCGTGCCAACCCAGGAGCCTCGCGCGCCCTCGCCCCGGCCTCGCCGCGCCTTTCCCGGGCGCAGAGCTAACGATGCGGACCCGCTGCGGGTCTTGGGGAAGAAGCGGCGGGGGAGGAAGGCGAAGCGGGGCACGGGTGGGATGGAAGGGGCAGGGTCCTGCGTGGATTTTCCAGGAAATAAAGCCAGAAGGGGTCTGGTTTTCCCTCTTCCCACTAAGCCAACTTATGGAAAGGCTGCAGCATTCCTAGAAATACGCATCTTTTATGAAAAAGCAGAATTTTGCAGCTCCCTTCCTCAGATTTGCCCAGATTTTATTACAAGGCATTGGCTTTCCTGCACTACAACTCCCTTCCTAAGGGAGACCATAAGCCCCCTCTAGGTTTCACTTGAGCTTCCCTTAATGACCAGTTGGTGGCCCCCATTGCGGTCACCAAAGGAGGACTATTTATGGAACCAATTGGACCGATGGGATCCACCAGACTTCTTTTGAGCAAAATATCTCAGGGTCTTGCAACCAGCAAACCTCTGAATTCTAACCCTGAAAGGCTACTTCCCCGAAGACCCTAGAAGCATTTCTGACATAAGTTGAATTCAAATGGTGCTCTCCGGTCAAGGAGATTGCCAGGCCAATGGAAGTCCAGTAATCTGAGCCTCCAGGCACAAACTAGGACATATGGCAGGACCTGTCTGTCTTTTCTGACTTTTGTTGATGGTTCTCCTGGTGGATGGATCCCTTCCATTCTTCCGGCTGAGGTCGCCCGCTCTTAGGATGGACACCTGCTGGGGTGCCTGAATCCCACTGGGTGAAGGAGGAATCAGAGGGTTGAGGCTCCCTGCTCTATTTTTAAATGGCACAAGCTTGGGCGGAGAAGATAAACTGATGAACTGGAGGCCTTGTCACATTAAATCCTGCTGCCTATAAAGGACAGACAATAAGGCAAAGCTTTTATCCCTATCTCTCTATCAATCTACCTATCTTCTATCTGAATTAGCAGAATACCAGAGCTGGAAGGGACCTTGGAGGTCTTCTAGTCCAACCTCCTGCTCAGGCAGGAAACCCCACATCATTCCAGACAAATGGTTGTCCAATCTCACAAATGCCTAAACAACAAAATTCTCGCCCCCCCGAATTAGTGAAAGAGCCAAAAGCCCATTTTTAACGTAGCAATATTTTGCATTGCATTTGCAGGGCTTTTAATATTATATATTTATATAAAATAAAGACAGTGCAACACACACATTCATTTAATATGATATGCATATCATATTTAATAATATGCACTATATACACGTTTAATAAATAAATATAATTTCATAGATATAATGCAGACATGACGCTCTCCCCCTTTGGCAGCAAAAAAGGCGGCGATGGGGGACTGTTGTTGAGCCACTGCGCGTGCGCGAAATCCGCTTTGAGCAGGAAGCGGCCCTGTTGGCTCACCCACTTCCGGGTGGGAGGCGATCCCCATGGCAACGCCCCCAGCCGGGCTCCCGCGCCGCGCGCCGGAAGTGACGCTCCCAGAGCGCGGCCCCTGATTGGCCCTTCGCGGCAGCGACGTCGCTCCCGCTGCGTCTGGAGGAGCAGGAGGCAGAGGCGGCTGCTCCGCGGCTGACCCGGCCGGGCCTCGTCCTTCCCCCCCTTCCCCGCACCGCCATGGCGTCAGCCCTGGAGCAGTTCGTCAACAGCGTCCGGCAGCTCTCGGCCCAAGGTAAGACGCAAGGCCGGGCGCGCACGTGGAGGCCGCTGCCGCCCTCCGGTCCGCTCCGGCCTCGGGCGGCCTCCGAGAAAGGAGAGCCGGGATGGGCCCCGCCTCCCGAAGCCGCCCGTTGGCTGCCGCGTTTGTCTGTCTGCGGGCGGGGCGGAGCTTCAGGGTCCCGCCTCTTGGCTCGCAGAACCCTCGTGGGCGGGGGAGGGAGCAGAGCAGCCCTTCCCCAACCTGGCGCTCCCGGGCTGGTTGGGAATCTGGGAGAGGGGGGGCGGGATGGAGAACCGGGATGTGGGGGGGGGCTGGCTCTGCCTGTTCACTGCTGGATTTCCCGCTTCCCAGGTGGCCACTCTGGGATCGCCTGGTGGTCTCCTGTCCAAAGCCCAATTCCACTTGATCTCCCAACTTGGAAGGTCATTGAATGGTCCTGCAGCGAAATTGCTTTTTGTGGGGCAGCCCCCCTCTCTCCCCCCAGGACAAATATCTTTTCCCTTCTCTCTCCCCCCCCCCCCCAAAAAAAAAGGATCTACCAGGCTTTGCCCTTCTGGATTCTGTCTATCTGGCCAGCTTGACTTTTTGTTGGATTCTTTACTTTAAAAGAGCCGAGCAATGGCTGGCATGGGAGAACATTTTACAGCTGTTCTTTGCAGGGCCTGCAGCCACAGTTTGGGCCAATAAAGAAAAAATAAATCCATGTTCTTTGGATCAGTGAGGTAGCTTTATGACTGCTGGCTTTCCATTTTTAATAGGTGTTTCAGCAGATCCCTGTTGAGGGGCAGTTCTAGAAGCTGCTGGTTTTGGCCCCCTTGCATAAATGTCTCTGTTGATAAAAGCAGTATTTCTCAGCTGGGAAGTTGGTTTAAGGTCTTAACTTTGCTCTGGAAAATCTCAGAAAAATCTCGTGGGCAGAAGAATCTTTTCCATTTCATTGTTTCAGACTGGATGGTGGCAAATTGTGTCTCGTCTTAAGTTTAGCTCTACAATTCAAAAGATACCTGACTTTGGTGCTTTCTAATTTCATGTTACCTGTAGGGACACCAAGGTCCGTTTTAATTATTTTCAAAACAGTTATCTTTCGTTTTATGACTATTACATATATGCAGAGATTTATGAAAATTGTATATTTACATAAGTGTGGGTGTGTTGTTTGGGGGCATTTAAATTTTAAGAGATTTATATACAAGATTCTATCCTTGGCTGAACTGTTTTCATTCAGGGATTGAAATGGTAGGATTTCAGCTGGGGTGCTGTCCATGGTATTACTTGGTTGGGGACAGAAGTGTCTAATCTTTCCTATTATTGCGATGTGAAAATTAACTGCTGATAAGGGAGGCTAGAAAACAATTTCATTAATTAAAGCTTTCCTCTTTGGTCCATAAGATTGGTAAATTGGTCAGCTGAGCCTTCTGAAACAGAATAAAATATGAATAGAATAAAAATATTAATAGAGCACCTTTTCTACTATTCTGCCCGTTGTTTTGTACTAAAAAGCTGATTTTGTGACACCTTCCTCTTGAGCACCTTAAACTGAGACACACTCTCCCTGTTGTGTGTTTTTAATTACAGTATTGGCTTATTATATTTTGTACAACTCTGGTTTTATGGCAGAGATGACCGTTCCCTTGGTATTTGTGGAGCTGGCTATTCATAGGGCATAGAGCGATAGATCCTCTTCCTTTTTTTTCCACTTTCCAACCTTTTTTGCCTCTTTCAGGACAAATGACTCAGCTTTGCGAACTGATCAACAAAAGTGGAGAACTGCTAGCAAAAAACCTCTCCCATTTGGATACCGTGCTTGGGGCGCTAGATGTCCAGGAACACTCATTGGGCGTGTTGGCGGTTTTGTAAGTGACCCTCCTTCATTGGAAGCTTTTTTCTTAGACTTAAATAGAGAGACAAACTTGATTTTCACGATACTTCTTTTCTGTGAATCTTCTGCTTGGGATCAGAAATCCGTTTGTAAGTCAGTGTGGTCATACGTCAAGGCAGCCATGTGGCTGGATCTGAATTTGACATTTTCATAGTTGTTAAGCAAATCACCACAATCATTAAGCAAATGGCACATTCATCCAATAGGAGGGGGGGGGTTTGCTGGAAATTAGCAAAACAACACCAGAAACTGGCAAAAAGCATTGCAGTCACAATTTAAAACTGGTCATAAAGACAAGCTGATTGTCACACACCAGAAATGCGTCCTGTGTCCATGCGGGGAAGTGTGACATATTGCAATAGTTGGAAGTGTTTTGTGTGCTTTATGGGCCATAAAGCAGCTGTTCTGAGGCCATAACTCAAGGGCTGCCTATATTTCTTTCGTTCCTATTTAGAAATCTCCTAACAGCGGCAGGATTTCAGCATGAAAACAGCCCCCAAACTAGCCATCTAACACAGTTGACATGTCCTTCGGTGGGGTTTAAGGAGCTCTTACGGGGGTCCAAGAAAGAGATGGTTTGCATTCTGTGCTTTGTCTTCCTTTGTAGGTTTGTGAAGTTTTCTATGCCCAGCGTCCCTGACTTCGAAACATTATTCTCGCAGGTCCAGCTTTTCATCAGCACCTGCAATGGGGAGCACATTCGTTATGCCACAGACACCTGTAAGTGGCTTCTGCCATCCTGCGGCCTCCTCCGCCAAAATATGTATTGGTTTTCTAAAGAGTTACAAATGAACGTTAACTTCATCCCAGGAGCACCACTGACCTTAATATTAATGTCTAACTCCGTGGTGGCGAACCTATGGCACGCGTGCCACAGGTGGCATGCAGAGTCCTCTCTGTGGGCACACGCACCGTCGCCCCAGTCCTGGGCCTTCAGCTCAGTTTTATAAAAC